TGACTGACTTTTGGTTTGTTTTTGACTTTGTTATATTTTAGATACATTTTTAGCAGTTTTTCAAATATCGTATTTAAAGAATGTGACTCGAGATTTAGATGGTTGATCTCAACTTGGAATGAAGATTGCTTTCTTTGTGGTCTCATAAAAATATGGTAGTTATTTTACTCCTCGTCAGTTTTATGTTCTAATCTGCAGAAAAATACTTTGCCTGTGTTGAGAATTTCAACACGAAACAGTTTCTGTTTTCATTGTTCCAACTTCATTTTATTTATTTTAAGTATCTTCTCTTCAAACTCTTAATATCATGAGATCGCATATCATTTTGGACTTTAATCCCGCTTATATGAAATATTTTTATTTATGGGCACTGTGGAAATAGTAATCAGTTCGTTGCCCGCTTCTGGTTGCTTCGGTCCAAGACTTTGGTTTATTAGGCGCATTTGGTCCTCGTCCAAAACAAGATTGAAAGACGTTTGATCGATAAAACTGGCATAAACCATTCACTTAAAAACGGGGTGTGTTTTAAGCCAGACTTGTATAATTGGAAAACAAAATTTCGAACAATTTTAGATTTAAAAAATGTATTTTTATAAGTTTTTCATTGAGCTGAGAACTGATTGATTAATACAGCTGGCGGTCGGAATCGCTTTTCTACTTTTCTATTTGCAGTACTGAGACCCACTAGATAAAATAAACAGTCAAGGGTTGAGGTTTAATTAAACTATAAATAATAATAGGTAGCGCGATAACCCTTCTGATCGGTACAACGAACTTAAAACACAAAGTACCAACGAACGTACCATTAATGATTGTAGTTAATCAATTAAAATAGACGACTGTCAGGTGTTTACACGGGAAAATCTTTAATATCCTGAGAAACAGAACAAGATATATTTCGAGGGGGTTCGCCTTTTTCATTTTTCTCACTCAATAAGAGAGTAAAGTTTCTTCTACAATACTTAATTAATTTAGTTCCCAATTTTTCTTATTTTGTTTGGTTTCTGACGTTTATAAAGTTGGCTGAAGAATATTTTGTTTTAATTAATTTCACAAAAGTTATTGAAGCTTTTACGTACTTAATGATCTTTGAAGCTGTCGATCCTTCTTTTTTTAATTCGTTAAACAGAAAACATCCTAATAGTAATTGAATAGCTATGATAAAGTTTCTTTAATAATTAAAAGAAAAAAAATTTTTTTTTCGGTAATTAAAATGTTGGTATAGAAAAACGAACGGCTCAAAGACAATATAAAATTAGACTGAGTTCGACAGACTATAAACAGTATGTCATCTCAGAAAAAATGTAAATGCTAACAATACCACTATATTCTACTTATATAAGAATGTTCAAAATCGACCAGAATTACAGAAAAAATAAATAATTTTTATAATGTCTTAAAAATGTTTTCCTTGATAAAATGATTTAAAAAAATATAAAATCCTCCGGATGTGCTTTACATTTTCAATCCCTTTTCCCAATATATATAAACTTGCTTACACTTATATAAAATTATTTAAAATAAATCTTATTCTCCCTTGAAGAAGTCTTTGAAGTAAAGTAATAATATATTATAAAACTCAAACTTGCTCCAATCCGATCGGCGAAAGAAGCAGCAAAAATGCCGCCCACGGAGACACGGACGTTAAAAAAGCGATGAGGAATGGACTGATTAATCCGCTAGGATACAATGACCGAAAAGTTAAAAACAGTGTATCTGATAGTGAAACCCTAGATCCCAGAAAATATAAAAGAAATTGAGGCAATCATTCTCACTTGGATGAGGATAGGCCATACTCGCCTGACATACGGCCGACATACCACCTCATCAGAAAGAGACCAAGAAAATGTCCACTATGTGGTACGGTCAAACATAATTTGGAAGGTCGTTGCACAGAAGTCGGTGACTTATAACCTACCTTAGGTAGTTCTTCATACAATAATTTTAGCCACCCTTAACTGAATCTGACAAGTGAGGACAGGTATGTCCAAATGTCGCATTGGACTATGACCTAAAAGTCGTAAAAAATAATAGTCAATAAAAAAAGTCGGCAATGATCTTCATAGTTAGCTGGAAAAAAATATGGGCATTCAGATCAACTTTGCTTTTTGAATAAACTCCATTTTGAATTTTGAACATTTGGACAACTCTGAATAAGGTACTTTAAGTTTTAGAAATAAGTTGCTTTATCGACGTTTCAAGTCAGAAAGTGACAAATTTTTAATTTATTCAGTTGACTGCTATTAGTTATATAAATAAAATATTTAGATGACTGGACTCCTTTTTTTGATAAAGTAAGGGCTAGTTAATTTATAATATACTGCCTGACGTACTATGCAGTCTTTTACAATTTTTGCTGAAAAATTGAACGTTTAACTTGAAAGGACGACGAAATTGAATAATGAATTATTGTTAAATCATTTCGTTCCTTAAACTGTTGGTCGCAGTTTTCAACTAGGTTAGTGTTTAGAAGTTTGTTGAGTTTGAGAAATGGTCGGTTTTATACTCACAAACTGGATACATTGGGATACGCTTGTAAAATACATTTATTTAGCATCCTACACGGAAAACCACAACGGGTGCTACGGTCGGCTATTATTGGGAAAGGGTTCCGAACAGAAATCACCAGGATTACTGAACTTTCTTGCGAATCGCTCGTAAATTTCAAGCCTTCCACCAATGGCTGGAACTCAGAGACCCGGCACAAATTTTTATATCTTCCTATAAAGTCACGTACATTACACTGGCTTGATTTTCCTACGCTAAATAGCCACATAAAAGCGAGGCTACTGTCAGAGCGATTTGTGTGTGTAGAAATAATTCAATTTCACCAAACTGTACATTTTTCTTCTTCTCTTTTCTTCACTGAGTCAAACATTGACGAGCGAGTACTTCGAGTGTACTGTAAATTTAAATAGTCAAAAAGTAGTAACTTATTCTCAAATAAAATAAAACGAACTCGACGGATTAATTCTAATAATAAGTATTAAAACGTAATTTACATTCTAACGCTATATATAAACCCATTATTCTCTCTCCAACTCAATTCATCTTTTTCCTTTCCCATTTTCTAAAGCTCTTTCCCTGGCACTCTCATCCCATTTCCTCTTTTATAACTATTTCACATGCAGCCTTTCTCTCTATCGATTTCTTTCACTCTCTTTATTTCTTTTTGCTCACTCACCCCACTTTATCACTCGTTTTTTTAAAATAATATATTTAAATTTCTTAATGCAGCCGTTGCAAATTTACCTATTTTTTCATTTTTTTATAAAGTCAAAATAGTTTTAACTTCTTCTTTTCATTTTTTCTCTTACTCCCTCCATTTTCTTTCTTCCTTGCTTTTCTTTACTTTTAATCTCAGTCATAATGGTTTTTGTGACTCTTTTTATTTTCTAATTCACTCACCATAATAATCACAGTATTTATTTCTTTGGTGTCATCATTCAAAAGAAGATTATTAAGAAATCGTGAGATGCGGTCTGGTGTGATGTAGGTTTCAGAAAAACATTTTCTTAATCGTGCCAATGTTTACATCTTTATTGAGATCATCTTCAGAGCTGGGTGGGATTTTAGAAAAATGGCACAATTACGCAGAAAACTAACATTTGAGCCCTGAATAAGGAAAATGTTTTTCTGAAACCTACATCACGCCAGACCGCATCTCACGATTTCTGAATAATCAGAAAAAAAGACGTGCGATTCTGTACGAATTCTTTATACTAGATAAAATATGTAATTCATAAATTTTACTTTTGAATAAATAATTCCTCATTTTTTATACACTGACAGGCAAAAAATTCCACCCAATTGATTATTTTTCATTTTCCCATAAAAGAAAATTCCACCCTTAATTTATCTCACTGTTTTACCAAAAAATATTTGTGTACGCTTTGTTTTAAATTGGGAATATCGATTAGAGTAAACACACTTAATCCTTAATCAAAATCAAGGATAAAGGATTTTTCAATGTTTACTTTTTACGGAATTTAAAATGTTTATTCACTCTCATTTGAATTCTGAAGCAATAAACTGTTTATTTCCATCCTTATTTTCTTAATTTCCTTTTGTAAACTTAAAATTACCGGTGCTGAGGATGTTGCGCATGGTACGATGTACGTTCCATCAGGTAAACTCTACGAGATGCTGTTGGACGTTTTCGAGAAACGGGGTCCTACCATAGAAGGTCCGGTTCTGAACGCCTTAGGGTAACAGAACCAGAGGATGACCGTTTTTTGACTTTGAGAATTTTGAGAAACCGACACCTTACTGTTGTTCAAGCGATTCTCCAGCACCAGGAAGTTCGAGCTGTCCAAATTTCTTAACGCACTGCTCGTAGAACATTAAATCAGTATGGACTGATGGCTTTTCGCCCTATAAGAGGACCAGAATTGACCATAACATTCAGAGTTGCACAGCTCGCATTTGCTCGAGAACCCAGCCTTTGGAGATTGGTACGCTGTACTTTTTACAGATGAGTGTAAATGTGCGCTACGATATCCAGATTGGCGTGAAACAATGTGGAGAAAGCAAGTGAAAAGTACGAAGCCTGCTGGATGATAGATTCACTTTTTTCCACATCCTACATGTATTTGTTAAATCTAAACGATGTTTGTAAATCCCAGGCCATGAAGATGATCTCTAAAGATCGAAACGTTGGCACGATAAAGAAAATGTTTTTCTGAAACCTACATCACATCAGACCGCATCTCTCGATTTCTGAATAATCATCGACTAACGGTCACTAATCACCACACATTCAAAAAAAGGTACATATTTAAAAACATTTATAATTTCCCTCTCTAAATGCGTAAAGTGTTTATGTGCATGTGTGTACTAATAGAATATGCGTGTAAGCAATATATTAGGCTGTTTATTTTGTAAACCTAGTCAAAGTTTTCATGTAAACTTATAATCCTACAATATTATGATAATATATTATACATATAATATTTTCATTGTAATGTTCAGACATGTCACTATCAAAATAGTTTACTTACCGTTGAGAATTTTATCAAAGAAATAAGGCTGGATCAGTTGTTAATCGTTCTGGAAAATAACAAAACAAAAATTGTTAATTTGATTAAAACTATATAACGTCAAATTATGCATTAATTTTAAAGATGGCTAATATCACGTATAAACCGCCGTGATGATTATTGAAGGTTGAAGCAATTAGAAGATTAGATGTCATGTCAACGGTCTCAAGAAAATTAAGTACACAGTTTAAATCATGAGAAAAGCCATGATTTAAAGCCCCACATGCCGTTCAGAAGGCAATAAAATCCCCAGAGATGATTTAATTGACTCTATATTGAACCGGAACTGCCCTCCGTTGATTGTCTCTCTTCGTAGTTATCCATTTCAAAAGAAAGAATCTAACCATAAAAATATAATTTAAAATTATTGATCACTTGTAAGAAACTAAGATGGTTGTCTGCTTACAATCTATGTCAAAAAACCTAAAATATAAATAATACAAAGAAACTGATAAGTAACAAGTGAGATTACTCGTGTTATCTGTGGACTGATGAACCTGAAATTTGGTCATCGATCATTATGCTCTGCTTATCCTAACTGGGTTGGTCATCCGGGGTGTCTAGACATTTTGCCATCTTTTGTGTTCCGGTTGGTCTTTGTGATCTGTATTTTTTCTTTTTAATTTCTAATGATATAAAAGACACACGGACTCTACCTTTCACGACTTTATAAATTAGACTTGTTTTTATAAAAATCACCCAGATGGAATAGACTGACGAAATGCCGAAACCCGTCTGACAGTATAATCCAGCAAGAAAATGATCGGTAACGACCATATTACAGGTTCATAACCTCGCCAATTACGTGAGATATCTCACGGTATTTATAGTTACAGTTTACGATGGATAATTATTGTATTATAAAGTTGATCGACGAACTACTTTACAAGTTATGGTTGGTGGGATAGGGGATGTGGTCTAATGAATATCACAATATTGACAGTACGCCAAGCTTTTTGTGTTTTTCGTACAACTTCCTCAGGACTTGAGCCAAATTCGATTTTTATCTAGTTGTAGAATGTCACCATGGAAGAGAGGTAGCTGGTCGATCAAATTTACAACATTGATTACAAGGGTTTTGTCTCTCGATTTCTTCTTTCATCACATTCTACAAACGGATAAAAGAAGAATTTGGCTCAAGTCCTGAGGAAAGAAAAACATCGAAACCTTGGCCTAGTGTCAATATTGTGTTATTCATTAGACCACATCCCCGATACCATCAAAGACAACTTATAGCTAATTCTGCAATAACAGCTTAATGATATATAATTTAGGTATTAATTTACAAACTGGTGTTTTACACGACAATTCCGGCTAAATATTAATGCAACATGTAATTGATACTACGTGATACGTACAAACATAAAAAACGAATGAAAATTTTTAAGCCCTGAATGTTTTTTATTTTTGGATTCGAACCCGGGACCTTCATCTTACAACAACGAAAGCCGTTTCAACTACTAAACCGTTGCGGCCACCGACGCCCCCCTGAAATTTTTTATTGCCAAACTTTGATAATTTCAGTTTGTTTTGTGATTTATACAATACCATAATGTTCAAGTAAAATGTGAGATGTATTTCAGGGAGAACGAAGGAAACAGATTGATCTATTATTGACTGTAATAAGTCTAGTGAGTGAGAGAGAGAGAGAGAGAGAGAGAGAGAGAGAGAGAGAGAGAGAGGGAGAGAGAGAGAGAGAGAGAGAGAGAGAGAGAGAGTCAGAGTGAGAGTGAGAGTGAGAGTGAGAGAGAGAGAGAGATAGATAGAGATAGATAGATAGATAGATAGATAGATAGATAGATAGAGAGAGAGAGAGAGAGAGAGAGAGAGAGAGAGAGAGAGAGAGACACAGACAGACAGACAGACAGAGGAAAGAGGGAGAATTTATGACAGGCTACATATAAGAGAATATTTTAAAGGTTATTTTATGTGACGCTATCGTTCAATTTAACATTTTTCTATGTATTTTTTATGGTGTAAAAAACTGATATGCAATACTAAATTTAAAAAAAAATGGCTAAAAACTAAATGGTAGGAATAATACATTGAACAAAAACATCTTTAAAAATTGTTCTTATCAGATTATTTTTTAAATAATGAGTTTTAATTACGAAATGACGTTCATACAAAGAAAATTAAGAAATCTAGAGATGGCAAAGTGGCGTCAGAAAATGCTAAGGCTAAATTTATTTATTTGTCCAGCAAGAAGACCAATAAGTTCAATTGCAATGAAAATGACTCGTCATAGTTGTAAAAAAATCCCACTTTTTTATTAATACGAGTTTAAATTTTCTTACTGTTAATCAACAATTTTTGTTTTGTTATGTGTGTGTGGTGATTTGTGACCGTTAATCGATATTTATTTAGAAATCGTGAGATGCGGTCTGGTGTGATGTAGGTTTCAGGAAAACATTTTCTTTATCGTGCCAACGTTTCGATCTTTTTGTTATTACATTTGATTATGGGATATGTATTATAAATAAATATCTTTCAGTTAATTAAGGTTTTTAGTTAACATAAAAAAGTCAATGTCACGAGCGGGATTCGAACGCCGCCAATCTCGCCGAGAATCAAATAGATTACACGACATTTGAAAAATGGCAAAAAAGAGGAAAATTCAAAAGGTGGGTTTGAGATGGGAAGTTGGTGTCCGAGTGGATGTTGTCACGATATCTCAGGTGGTACAGTAGCGGCGTATCTAGCCGAAGGTCGTGGGTTCGAATCCCGCTCCTGACATTGACTTTTTTATCTCAACTAAAATCCATAATTAATTGAAAGTTATTAATTGGTCAAGCGGACCACGAAAACTAGTAAATTATAAATAAAATTTTTTTATATTTGAGATCAAATTCTTCCAAAAACGTAAATGTTAATTTTAAAAAAAAGTTATGCTTTAATGATTTACAATGGAGTGGAGTACTATGTGAAGTGAACTGAAATGTATAAAAAATGTTTAATTTAATACAAAAAATAAACTATTTCACATGTCGCTCTTTCATATGAGACATCATTGAGGGTCAAATCAAACCTAATTTTTTATTCTTGACAAAAATCCACAGCTCCCTAGTTTGCATTTTACTGGATGGGAATAACATTTGGACAGAGAATGTCGTCTAAAGGGCGAGCACGACAATCACTGGAAAGCCCGACAATCGCATCCAGGTCTATTCACAAAACGAGGAATGCATTTTAAAAATGTTTTGCGTAACGCACGCATTTGACGTTCAGCAACTATTGAATACCAATGCACTACTGCCAGAATGAAATTAATTTTAAATTTACTTCATGCCAAGTTTGACAAGGTACAATCATATGTACAGTAAAATATATTATAACAATTTAAAATTTAGCGAAGAAAATTTTATTTTTGTAGCTTTTTTTGTTATTTTATGTGTCAGTTTTGAAGAAACAAGAACGTTCAGGACAAGCTAGGAAAAGTTGATTTATGTTCCATAAACAATCAAATTGGAAGGGAACTAAAACTTCGGGTTCACAATAATACTAAAATCAGACACCCAATTACCGAAATTGGGCCGGACTTACAACTCCCTTCAAAATCTCAACAAACTAAGGAGACGAATTCGGAAGGGAATCAGATACAATGGTATGGTACACATATGGCTCCAAATAAATGAACCAGATCAGGAATGTTCTGTATAAGCCCAAAATGTGAGCAATCAAACTCATTAAGGAAGTATACTTTGTTTTTTCAACCTGAAACACATGCCATCAACGTTTGTGCCTCAGAAAATATTCATCGATTAAACATTCGTACGAAAATAATCCCAAAAAAATTAATCAGAGAATCCATCTATTATCTCCAAAATTTGCGAAACACAACATCCTGGTGATGTCTTAGGTACGAGGTCACAAAGGAATTTTGGTAATGAAAAGTATGACTGACTTGCCAGATCTACAAGAATACTTATACATTCTTCTCTTATTATTTAGAAATCGTGAGATGCGGTCTGGTGTGATGTTGGTTTCAGAAAAACATTTTCTTTATTATGGCACGATAAAGAAAATGTTCTTCTGAAACCTACATCACATCAGACCGCATCTCACGATTTCTAAATAATTATCGATTAACGGTCACTAATCACCACACACTTCTCTTATTATTAGGATAACAAAACAAACACAGAATACTCCATCACAGAATGGATCCAACAAAAACAAAATGAGAAAGATAAACTCTAAAGGTGTCACACACAGTAGGCTTGTGTTATAATAACCCTCACCAAGGATGGCAGACTCACTGCTACAGTTAAACTCAGAGGAGTGACAGGGCTATTTACCGGTCACTAACATTTGAGGAAACATCTACATTACTTATGTGTCGTCAATGATGGACGTTTTGCTTTAAGGAGAAAGGAACAGCCACCCATACAACTTCAAATGCGAAGAACCCATCAATGAAGACATACAAAGAATACTGAGATACAAACAAAACTCAGGGAAAGAAATTGTACCAACGACAGTCAATGACCTAGCACTCCTTGGAAGAAGGATGAAGTCGATTGCACTGAACTAAGAAAGTAGGAAAAACAGTAAGGAAGAAGGCTCAAGTGCTTGGGGAACAACAACCGCGGCTTACGAGTACCCACGATCATCATCATCATCAATAAAGTAAATCTCTATTTTGATGGTGCGCATAGACACCAGCCGGAGCGAGCACAAATCCCGCTTCCTAGAATCCTTATCGTACAATTTACCGTACCATGATATCCACGAAAAAGAAAATAACGGACAAATTGGTTCATAAAATATTATATTTTTATTCCTTTGTCCTGCAGCCTTGCAAGGACATGGACGTAGAGTAATAAGTGAACTAATATTACTAAATAATTTTTTTTGTAGGCTTGTGAAAAGTTTCAAAACGTTAAGATATAAGTAAGTAACTTAAAAACCTATTTACTAGGAGAAATAAATTCAATTTAATAAAACTTGAGCGCATCAACAAAACTTATTACAAAAATTGAATTACATCTAAGGTATAAGCTTTAAAAT